TACTCAATAATGTGAATTCAAATTCTCAGAAGGAATCATGTATGTCTGAAAATAAATCTAGAAAAAAGGATGTATAGGCGAAATTGAGTACCATATATCTCTTTATAGAACTTATACGTCGATTTGTAGTAAAGTAAAAAAGTCTACATCCTGCAATAAAAATGTATGGAGTTAAGTTATAAACAATACCATATTTAATTGAAAGTGAAAATGATAATCTAATCTTACTTGTTTAATCAAAGCGCGCGACAAATAGAACCAAACACTAATACGTTAACTTATGTGCACAGAATTGATAGCATTGTCAAAAGAATCGGTTAAATTTTTTTCTTAACTAATTATTATTTATCCTTGAACCACTCTAGTAAAATACATGGCCTTAAAACAATACCTAATAGTGTTAAAAAGAAAAATAAAAAAATCATCAACACCTAATAATCTAAAATACTATAGAAGAGAAGACTCAAGCTTCTCTATATAATGTTCCTTCTACGCTTTAGCTAATTTACCATTATCCACAGTCGCAACTCAAATCATCTTTTGTCTTCCTCCTGAAAATATGGGGTTTTCTCCTTCATTTTCTTGCAGTGCTATGGGAGCCCTAATTTTGGGTTGCCTTCTGCTTCAAGCATCAAACTCTAATGCTCAGTTGAGGCCTGATTTCTACTTCGGGACTTGCCCATCTGTTTTTGATATCATTGGGAATATCATCGTTGACGAATTGCAGACTGATCCTCGTATTGCCGCGAGCCTCCTTCGTCTTCACTTCCATGACTGTTTTGTTCGTGTAAGGACTTACTCAACTTATCTTTTACAAAACAAATTCCACGACGTCTAATTTCGCATACCATTTACATATATAATCGAGATTAAAAGCCATTTCTAATTAATAAATAATATCGTCATCTAATGTAATAAATATGATTTTGTAGGGTTGTGATGCATCGATCTTGCTTGACAATTCCACATCATTCCGGACCGAGAAAGATGCTGCTCCAAACGCAAATTCGGCTCGAGGGTTTAATGTCA